TCTATCTATCTATCTATAAATTAGAATTGGTTCTCAGTCAACATATCTGGTTAAATAAAGGTCAAAGAAATAAAGTTACTAAATGGATCTTAACAACAACAGTGTGCTTCGAAAAGTAGTTAAAAGATTTGGCTGCTTTAAAAAGTACAATAATTACTTCACTAATTGTTCAAAACATTATGTGTTGCTCCATTTCATTAGCTTTTAAACTTATTTAAAGCTGCTGCTGACGGCCTTGATCTCTCAGATCTAAATGTTAAAAGGCTGCCAGACTTTAAATATGAAAACAACCTTTCTCTAAAAGCAGCCGGCTACAAAACAAAAGAAAATCAAATACAGACAAGCACACTAATAACTCCTTAAAGGCCTTCTGAAGCAGATTGAACATGTGGAATGACTGGAATGCTGTTTTGGCCGCAGACTGTGCTTATCTACTGTTGGTCCTATTAGATCTATTGTTGTAGATCAACATTATGATTACTGATCGAGGCAGGCGTGTAAAACCTGCGTGAGATTACTATGAAGAGGCAAAAAGCTTTCTGTGCGTCACCTGAGTGCTTATTCAGAATGATTAACCAGTGAAATAATTACACCACCTACGTTTGTTAACCTCCCATCGAATGTATGCAGAGATATTAGAGTAGATATTACAGCAAAAACCTGTGTTAAAGTGTGAAATACAGGTGTGTATGGTGCTTTTATGCACTGAGTTACCTTTAAGAGTCTATTCACACTATTATTTGACTCATATTGAAACTGCAGGAAACTCCATCCTCACCTCAAGTTGACAAATACATGAACCAGACTCCCTGAACAAGCTGATTTAAATGTTTTGAATACAGAGTTAGCGAGTTAAGCTCCTGTATGCAGCAACCTGTGTGATTACAGATGACACATCATTTCACACGTCATGCTTTTGTACCTGCAAGAGACTTTTATCAGTCAGCTCTGAGTCCTCTGGTGAACCACGTTAGTGACCACATCAGCGACGAAACTGTTCTCACTGCACTTCATGAACACATTAATTGAAATCAAAACTGGAACGAATCCATTCGTGCCCAGTGAAAAGAGCATGGTCATGTTTTGAGTCATGTGTCATAGTTCATTATGACTGGAAGGTTACGTAAAGAAATCTGGGTCAGTTTGAGTTTTAAATTAAGTTTTAAAAACAGAAATAATCTGATTCGTAGGACTGCCGTATTACAAAATGCTTAAAAGGAGAATTTATAGGTTATTTTCACACACTGGGTTTCATCTAAAAGTGTAAATGAAGTTGCTGGTAGGATGAATGTTTTTTTCCGTCCTCAGGTAACAAACTCCACCTACCAGCAGGTTAATTTAATCTGTATAAAAACCAAAGTGCAAAAATTACAATTTGCAGAACTATATGTTGGTTGCGTACCAAACTATTTCTTAGCTAGGACCATTAAGTTTTTAGAGTTTCTGCTGGTTGCCCGGACATAACCCTCCCTTAAAGGTTCCATATGCAAGATTCTGAAGCCTTTTACATATTTTTATTGCCAATGAGTCAACAGGTTGTAATGTAACTTAAAATAAAGAAGTATTCCTCCAACTTTCTCTGTTGCCTGTGGACATTCCCCCCGAAAATCCTTTGGATTTTGGAAAGGACCCTAAGGACGTAACCTTAGCTTGCCCGCTAACATTATCGCTAGCAAAATACTATCTGCCTACAGACTGTTTACAGAGCACGAGGACGCTGACTGCAGTTCACTTAATGGCCACTAGTGTCGCTAACAGTGTCTTTTTAAAAAAGCAAAATTTTTGTACGGACAAAACTAAAGACATAAGATGTTAACTTGTGCTGGTGGGTGGATTTTGTTACCTTTGGACAGGCTCGCTGTTCCCCCTGTTTCCAGGCTTTATGCTAAGCTAAGCTAACCAGCTGACAGTAGCTTCATATTTAACATACAAATACACACAACAGTTTTTTAATTTAAATCACTTTTTTCTCGTCCAGCTTCACCTGGAGTTCCTCTCGGATGGACAGGAACACGATCACCGTGATGACGGGACAAACTGTGGACTTCTTCGACAATGACTTCAGGGAGCTGTACGCTGTGTCTGAACAAGTCGACCTCTACAAGGAGTTCAACATCACCAAGCCGCCTATACCTACGCCCATCACCAAGCCAAAGGTGGAGCCAGTCCGGCCCCCACCCGTCTCCATGTCTCGCTTTCAAGTATCTATCAATGACTCCAGACAGGTCGACCTAAAGGTACCTGCACATAAATACCACAACCCTAAGTACTCTTTAGTTTTTGGGAACAGCAGGGGTCTAACAGGTTCCCTCCAAGACCTGTCAACTCCGAGCGACTCGCTGGTCGGCGGGCTGAACCAGAGGAACGGCCTGCACAACCTTCATACCAACAGCAACAACAAGGACCAGGTGGACCGAGTGTCCCCGCAGAGTCTTGGCTCACCCACAGAGGAGGAGGATGAGGATGGAAAGGGGGGCTTGAATAAGAACCCGGCTGCCGGAGTGAAAAAACGCAGCTCCTTCAGGCACTTCTTGAAAGGCAGGGGAGGTAATCACAGCACAGACACTATAGAGGAAGGCGTGGTCACTCCTCAGAGCCCCGCCCCCGTCTGTAAAGCGCCAGAGACCAATGGCGTCGCAGCAAATGAGCTGGAGGACTCGTTTGAGATCATTGAGAAACCAGGTCCGCTGAAATCCAAAATCAAGAAGCCCTCCAAGCTCATTCAGAGGAGTATGTCGCTGCAGACCATCAACTCAGGAGACGAAGACGGTACGTGCTCACAGTCCGTTTGTTTGTTTCATACAGTGAAGTTTATTAGTGATTAATGTGCAGATTGTTTTCTCGATTAATCATCTGGTCTGTAAAATATCAGAAACTGGTAAAAGATGTCACAATTTCCTATTTCTGGTTCTCGTTTTAACACGTGTCCTGAGACTTAAAGTAAGCCCAGACTTTCCTCCTTCAGCAGAGGAATGTAAGAACTGATTCTAGTGTCACATAAATCAAACTGCTGAGCTCAAACATCAAAGTGAAGGAACAATAAAAAGAAAAGTAAAAGTAATATGTTAACCTGCACCTGGATCCACATAAAGTAGTCAGGGGTTTAACTTTCCACCGTATTAAATTGAATTAAAAGTAAACTCTCTTGATCTAATTTATCATCAGACTCTTGAAATAAATCCAGACAAATCAAATCAAACATTTAGAAACACATTAGCAACTGTTTGTACTGAAAGTTTTTGATACTCGTGGCTACAGACAGAATTCAGTTTGTATTAAAAGTTTTTATTTTTATAATAACTTTATTTACACATTTCTTTTACACATACACACAAAAACAGCAGCAATAATGAATGAGATTAAAAGCAATATATGAGATATTTAAAAATAGATTAAACACACATTGCACAATGCCATAGGGAGCTTCAGCTTGTTGTTTATTTTACTGTCTGTGCTCTCATATTGTCAAACTCAGAGAAAAAGCTCTAAATCCTCAGCAGCAAACAGACGCAGTTAGAGAGACAGATATTTCCCTCAGGAGTTGGTAGAGAGCAGAAGAGAGTGAATATTGGAATATTCATCAGGTGGACACAAACAAACAAAAAGACTGTTGCTCTGTGACTGCCGGATGTGTAAATAAGAAACTGTTTGCTAGCCAGTTCACCATATTGATTTAAAATGTTCCCAAACCTGTTTCTGTTTAAAGGTTTAAGAAGTATTGAGATGTTCCACTGTCTCTAATTGTGATATTAACATCTCCACATTACTAATTATGGTTGTAATTAATCTGTCAACAGGGTCCAAGAGCCGCCGGCGGCATCAAAAGAAGAACTGCATCCAGTCATGAGATCAAAAACAAGAGGACAGTCTCTCATGGTTAAACACACTGAGTCACAGTATCACTTTACTGTAACCAGGTGACTTTACTTTACAGGACAAGAGTGCAGTCAGTGTCTGTGGCCTGTTACACGGCTTCAGTTCGGGGTGAAAGTCCCTGCTGTGCCTTATGGGAGCGACCACTGACGTTGTAGTTTAACTAATCACGTGAGGAAAAAAAGAATAAATAATCCTCCAGAAAATCTCAACATTGTAGCCAAAAGTGCTGATGGAGGCAAATTCCATCGCCACTATTTTTTATATTAAATTATTCTTGAAGTCAAGTGTTTTTATATTTTACACACGTATGCTTGAACCTGAACACCACAGAGGAGCTCGGGCTGCGACCCAGGCTGCGACCTGGGTGGATTACATCACACCTGTGAGTTGACACGGTTGCTATGGAGACAGGAAAAGTGATCGGTGGTGCTGTTGTCCCCGAGTGTCGCCTTACAGAGGACCCTTGGTAACAGAGTAAGTGTTCATCGGAGTGTGTTGTACAGGCTGTGAATAATGTAGGCTGAGCTGAGTGCTGACGCAGCCCCTCTGTTTGCTTCTGCTGTACAGACACTTTGTGTGTTTGCACTTTCTGGGATTTTGTTGTTATTCAGGCAAAACTGGCGAGATTAAAAATGTGAATTCTGGAGAGAAACCACTTGAGATGCAGATAATCTGCAAAGAAATTTTTTGTAGAAGAAATGGAATAAAAAGACATAAAAACAGAAGATTGTGTGATTAAATGTTTTCAGTGGAAACCATTATGTTCAAATGTGAACAAACAACTTTTCAAAGTTAAATATTTACGTAAAAATGTTCAGAGTTTGTTCATTTTATATGATGGTCTGTTGATGTTTAGGTACAAAATTAAATTCAGAAAATATCTGTTGACGACTAAAAATTACGACCGAGTATTAGGGCCAGACTTAGAGAAAAACAAAAAAATTGGGGGGGGGGATTACGAGAATAAAGTCGTAACATTACGAGAAAAAGTTTGTAATATTATGAGAATAAAGTCATAATATTATGTCTACGAGAATAAAGTCGTAAGATTACGAGAATAAAGTCATAATATTACTAGAATAAAGTAGTAATTTTATGAGAACTAATAAAAAACGTATTATTTATTCTCGTAATATTATGACTTTTTTCTCGTAGACATAATATTATGACTTTATTCTCGTAATATTACAACCTTTTTCTTGTAATGTTACGACTTTATTCTCGTAGACGTAATATTATGACTTTATTCTCGTAATTTCCCCCAAAAAAAGTCTGGCCCTAATACTCCATCGTAAAAAATAAATTGATTCACGCTGGGAATTTATATCAATTAGTAAATGTTCAATAGTGTGTCTTGGGAAGTTGCATATTAGCCAACAGAGGAAGTACTCGAGTCACAAAATTAAAAAAAACCATTCAACTCCACTTGAACTTTAAAACATCAGTGACTCCTGACTTCACTTGGACTTGCCCAACGATTAAAAAGTATTTTATTACCACATATCAATTAATTTCCTGACTCAACTAACATTAATACTATTCTGGCATTGGAGTTTTGTTAATAACAGGAAGTTCAAATGTAAGTAAGGTAGGATAAAATGCTGTATATTTATTTGTCTGTTAATGACATTTAGACAAACAAAAGGGGACATATATATGTTTAAGCATGGCTCATATAACATACAAAACACTATATATTTACTTATTTGTTGGAATAACATTCATTTATTATAATTTCTGTATTCATGACCTTCTGCAAGTTACCACTTTAATTCATTCTGCATATTGGGTTTTAATTAGGTCAGAAGATTATTACTGTTTGCACACATACATCAGTGAGGTCACCAAACAATGAGGAAGTAAAGCTGGTCCTCTAATCCTGCAAAAAGAGGCCTGAGACGTTTATTTCTCACAAGAGATTTCAAACAACCCCTCGCTAATGTTTGAAGAATACATTGTGAAGAAAATGCACATTGTAAAAAACAACAAAACCAAAAAAAAAGCTGCTTTTTTGTTTGTTTGTACCTTCTTCCAGGAAACCACAACTGTATCACAGCATCTCAAACACTCACATGACAAGAACTGCACAGGAAAAACCTTTAATGCATAAAACATCCTCTTTATCTGATTATAGTGAAAATAACAAGATAACGCAGGATTTCTCAGTACTTTAACTTCTATACGTCACATCATCATTACAGTACGAGAGAGATTCAGTCTGTCACAATAAAAGTTCACAATGGAAATGTCCTGGAGTGATAGTGTAGCACCATCTGCTGGAGAAACAGGCACACAGACAGATTCAAAAGTTTATTAGTAGTTTGATTCTTACATCAATATAAAGTTATGACATTATACATACAGTAGTTTAAAAACACTTAAATTAAACAGTTTTTAAACAAAATAAAATATATTGTACAATTTCAAAGTATTCATAAGTTACATTTTAAACTTGACAGAATCTTTTAGGTTTTCACTTTATTTACAATTTTTAACAATTCATCAGTAATAACGACTGACTACACGATTAGAAAAGTTAGAAAAGTGTAAAAACTGGATAAATATATAAATCATATTTTCTCCAGTGAAACACCCAAACCAGGTTTAACAAAGTGCGACATAATCTTCTCCTACTGATTTATGATTTTAACTTTTACACTCTTGACTAATTGGCAATGATTCAGTGTAAGAAATGGATGCCGATCAAACAACTAATATTCTAATATATAATAAAAATAACCGATCAATAAATAGCTGCTATTTGTACCTCTAAACAACCGACAACCATCGACAGACTATGAGACAATGGACCCCTGGACATGTAAAAGGCCTCCAAACCTCCGACACTTGACCTCGTCATTTTGTGTCACTTCTTAGTTGTTTTGAGTCATTATAGTTATTTCATGTCTCTTTGTAGTCCCTTGGTGTCTCTTTGTAGTCGTTTTGTGTCTCTTTGAATTCATTTTGTGTCTCTTTTAGGTCATTTCATGTCTCTTTGTAGTCGTTTTGTGTCTCTTTGAATTCATTTTGTGTCTCTTTGTGGTCTCCTTGCATCTCTTTGTGATTGGCATTCTTACAAGAAACCTTAACAGTTCAGCACAAGTTTGGTCAAAGGGGTCCTGGACCTGCACCCAGTGGGCCCAGTTCAGTAATCCATCTATTACACTAACAGGTCGACTACCTATCACCTCTGGACTTTGGTGGGGGGGGGCGACAGACACCCCTCAGGCCCTGCACCTGCAGCAGATGTTTGTCAGTCGGAGTTGTCAGCCCTTGAAGTCGGAGAAGTAGTGCGTGCAGTTTGCAGAAGTAAAGTGAAGACTTGTCACTGCACGCCAGAAATAGCTCACTTTTCTGAATTTACACTTTTTCACATGTGTTAGTTCACAACTTTTTTTTTTACATTTCTCTGAAATGCTGTGTGATTAAGTTTTGTTTTCTTTAAAATTACTGTCATAAAATCACATGATTCATCCATAAAAAAACTGTCCAGGATCAGATGTAGTTTGCTCTGACATCTTGTGTTCCAGTCCTATGAGGAAGTGTTGCTAATGACCTTCCTCTTTCGTAGAGACACCAGATCATAAAAAGGGTCCTTGGTGATGCTCGCCCTGAAAGAGAAGATTGGGATTCAGAGAATCAGTATTTAGTTGTAGTAACAGTTTCATTTTTGCCTGTTGTCAGAAAACTAGTTAAAAATGTTGTCACAATTTCCCAGAACCCAAGGTGTTATCTTCAAATTGCTTCATTTCAACTGGACCCTGCAAATATTTAGTTTTTCAGCTCCAGCTCAACAACTATCTGATGGATTGCTTGAGATTTGGTGCAAATGTTTATTTCCTCCTCAGGATCAATTATAATGATTTTGCTGACTTTTTGTGCCATCATTAGGTTACATTTTTCAATTTGTCCAATACTGTGACTGAATATTTGCAAAACAAATTACATACCCATCAGCCTCTGCTGTTCTTTGTGTTTAGTGTTAATTTTTTAATTTAGCATGCTAACATGCTAAACTAAGATAGTAAACATTGTACCTGCATTGTACCTCAGTATGTTAGCATGCTGACATTAGCATTCACTCCTCACAGAGCTGCTAGTATAGCTGTAGACTCAGATTAGTTTATCAAAAAAATAATAAATGGAAGATGTTCTACTTAAAGTCCCTACAAGGAATGTTTTGTGAATTTATTTTGTGTTGATTGTGGCGGCCCCTGTGGACAAAAACAGTAGTGTTTTATTGATTTCAAGGGGAATCTGACTCTGTGGCAGCCATAACCAGTTAAAAACATACATTTAAGGTTCCCCCTAACTCCACACAAGGAAATGATCCTTTACCAGCTTCCAAATGTATAGTCTTAGAAACAGACACATAGAAAACTAAAATATGCATATTTGCTTTCTGACGGAGAGTTTGACGAGAAGATTGATACCGCTCTCATATCAACTTGTTTAATATGAGGCTATAGCCAGCAGGCAGTTAGCTTAGCTTAGCACAAAGACTGGAAACAGGGGGAAACAGTTAGCTAGCTCTGTCTGTAACATAACCTAATCTGCCAACCAACGGCTTTGAAACTCACCAGTTAACATGTTACATCTTGTTTGTTCGATTTGAGTGTAAAAAGTGACAATTTGTTTATGTACTGTGCTATTTCTTGCTTCTGAGCTGTTGCCGGGCAACCAGACTACTGGTCCCAATTTAAGCTGCAGTTTCAGATTTAAGATGACAAATGTGAAGGTTTGGAGAAAATGTGTAAATTTTGGAGGCCACATTGTTTTTATCTGTGTTGTTTTTTTATTTATTCAAACTCTTTGTGACCATTTGTTCCAGCCTCAGCCTTGACAAACTGAATGCACCTGGCCTCCCACGTGTTCTCCACCACATCAACAGCTCTCACCTGATCGCCTCTATCCAGTTGTCCCGTTCTTCTGCACTGGCTGCACTGAGCTTATAGGACTGGTGTTTACCCTGCACCACTCTGCCTTTGTTCTCCGTCTTGCAGGCCTTGATCTTTTGTCCTTTGGGATTATATAACTCCAGACAATACTGTTCAAACACAGACACAAAAACACAATGTAGCACCGTTACTGTGTTCATATGCTGTTCTGTTTATTTTGTTAGGTTTCTCGTGACGCACTGTTTTTAACACTTTTTGTGTTTGAAATTCATTCAGCAGCTGCTGTGTGATTCATTAAGTTCAGTGGTGGCAGATAATGTGTGTGAGAAAGCTCAACACGCCTTCATAGGCTGCGATACCAAAAGTAAATGATACTCTACCGTTTTGCTTGTGTCTTCTAGCTTCCTGACACACAGGTTCTCCAGAGGAATAATCCCGATTGGGTCTTTATCCTGGAGGAGGAGACGGATATTAAAGACAGAATTAACCTTTCGACCACCAGAGGGATGTTTGACAGTTCCATATTTTGTGGATGTAACATCAGAGATACTTACTGTGGTGTATTCAAAGTAGTACAAGCAGCTGTCTGTCAAAATAAACCATCTCCTCTTCCAGGTTTTAACTCGGCCACCTTAAACAAAGAAATCCATCAGTTAGGGGGAAAAAAAGACATAGATACTTGTTATAATCTTCTTTCTTTTTGTCATCTTACCCATTTTAAGGAGCCAGCCTTCTCTGTCTGGATTAAAAAACGTCAGTGTGAGGTCGTTCCCATCATCCTCTGGGATTTTGAACGGCTCGCTACGGATGCTCGCGTACAGTTTCTGGAAGAGAAAATCAGTTTCAGTATCAGTTTAGACAGTCATGGACGAGGGATTGTGTTATTCAGAAATAACGAAAACACCACAACGGGAAAGCCCTGCATTGTACTCATTACTTAGAAGAGAGTAAGTAGGAGTAAAAGTTCAACAATAAAAGAACCCATAGTGACGAACGTTCAATGTCAGACTGAAAACTGAAAATCCAGATTATTGGAGATAAATGAGAGAATGCAAATCCCCCAAAACAACAACAGTTAATTGAAATGCAAAATTTAATTTGAATTTAACGATCATCTCCTGGTTCTCTCTTTAGATAATGTCAACAACTAATTTAAAGATTTTTAGCTATCAATAGCTAATTTGTTTTGTGAAGATTTCATGTTGGAAAATAAGAAAAAAAGAGTAAAAAAATAAAATATCTTTATCTTTAACTCAAGTAAAGTGCAGGTAAAGAGGGTAAATGTTGTACAGATTGTAAAGCCCCCTGAGGCAAACTGTGATTTGGGGCTATATCAATAAAATTTGACTTCACTTGATCTGTTTAACAGCTGCAAAAAAGACACTAAATGAATTGTTTTCAGCATAAAATGTGATGACTAAATCACAAAAAATTAATCACTGCCCTTTTATATATATTTTATTACACTCTGTCAGCGTAAACGGAAAAAAAGCCCCATGATTGGAAATAATGAGATCATAACAGACTGAAATATCTCTACAACTATTGGATGGATTGCCACAAAGGTTTGTACAAACACTCATATCCCCCTCAGCATGAGTTGTGATAACTTTGGTGATCCTCTGACTTTTAAATTTAGTTTGAATCTATGTCCCTGACACATAGAAGGAAGTGCAGTTTGTGAGAGATTGTTTTTTAGTTTAGTGACAAACATATGAGCATATTATGAATAGGACATTAGTGAGACACTGATATTGGTGTTATTAGCAGACCGTTAGCAGCTCGGTGGGCAGGTCCTCCCCGTTGTTGATTCCTCTGTTCATGGTAACGAATCGCTGCAGATTGGGTTTGTCTTTCACGTTGGGGTTGTGGAGACTTGTGTTGAGCATGATGATGGCAAAAGACAGGATGTAGCATGTGTCTATTACACACAAACACACACAAATACACACAGAACAAAGAAAACCACAGTTAGCTTCCCCCGCTGTGCACAAGGCTTAAAATAAACTTTTTCCCTCCCGCAGTATCCCACAAGTCCCAGACATAACAACCCTTGTCCCAAACTGAACCTAATCAATATAGTTTAATAACTTTGTTTCGGTAACTCGCATCATTTCATTGACTCATTCTGGTCCGCCAGGGAAGTTCTGCTAGTTGTTCCCTGCATATCGGAATAAAAAAGTACCACAGTCAGTGTTCATTATTCTTTAGTCATTAGTTGAGTTACTCTTTCTTGTGTATTATGTTTAAATCCAAACCTGAGATGGAAATGTAAATACACACATTATTATTATCTAGCCAAATAATCACACAGTCACTTCAGGGATGTATATTTAAAGATATATAATACATATTACAAAGGGAGGGAAAAGATCAAACTAACTCTTTAAATATTTACAAGCTCAAACAAGCTGTTTACATATAAGCTTAAAGGAACATCCTAATCCAGAGATCTGAAGAGAAAGAGTGAGAGAGAAGGTCAAAACCCCCATACACACATAATGACTGGCCCAAAAGGAGAGGGAGAGATTCCGGCGCTATCGACAGAAGAGCTACACATTTCCCAAATTTCAACACCTGACAATTAAAATTATAAATGTTCCATGACATAAAAATTCCATGTACATTTCTCCCAGTTAACGCTTCTCCAGCTGTATAAATTACATCCATAAAAAGGAAGTTCCTGTGAATGCTGCCTGAGTAAAAACCCTGATACTGAACAATCTGTTTACTCTGATCAGTGAGTGAGAGATAAGAAGTTACTGTGGCTTCACTGGAAAGAAAAAATAATTCTTATTAACAGCGGATAACTTGTCTTGTGCAGTTTTTTTTAATCTATTTAATTAATGAAACGGTAATGAAACTTTTTAATTGGACTGCCTGAGGAAGTGAATCAGGCGAGACAAAGCCTCTTTGTGTTTGTACCTGTGGATTGGAAGACCCCTGGGTTACAGTCACAGTAGCGAGTTGCAAACGCCTCCATCATCCTGTCAATCTTTTGAGCTTCTCCCGGGAGACGAAAGCTCCATAGAAACTGCCTGCAAGATGGCAGAGGTGTAAAAAAAAACACACACACACACGCAATGTCAAGCACATGCTGGTAAGAAGGAGGAGGATTTCTACATCACTAGAAAAACAAGACGGAAGGTAAAGACTGCTGAAACATTTCACACTTGCTTGCGTGCAAAAGTAATTTTGTGACACAAACCTCAGCGCCTGCACCAGATTCAGATCTGAGAATTCATGCAGACCAACAAAGGCTTTCAGTATCTGCAGGTGCATCTCCTCCCTGAAAGTTAAAAAAAATAATGACAAAATCACCTAATTGGAAACGTGAGGTATTAGAGTATATTTCAGCACTGAAGTTACATCCACATGTTTAAGTCCCAAAAAATATATATTTTCTCTTCTTGTTCCTTCATGTTCAGGATGTTTGAGCTTCACTGTACAGGATGATGTATGTGCAGTCTGAAACTAGAAGGATGTTTTCACAGTCATCTGCTGAAAGTTTCTCTGAGCTCACTGAAAATCAGATTTTTAAGGGGCGGGGCTTACTAGCACGATTTGTGACATCATAAATACTTTGGAAGTCAAACCTGATCCAGTATGAAACTTATACAGTGAGATCCACCAGCGCACAGACACTGAGAATGGACTTTACACTGAAGTAGACATCTTGTGTGCAACAGTAAAACTTGAACAATCAGCATATTCATAGTTTATGGAATTATTAATAAGAGATGGTAGAGGCATTTTTAAGGATTTTAATGTGGAAATTATAATGTTTTTGTGGAAAAAACACATGAGACACATATATATGTCTTCATACATGACTAGAGGGGATCTTTAATATCCAGATCACATGTTTCGTATAGCGTACCTTTCTCCCAAGAAGTTGCCAATGGCGGTTTTGTTCAGTCCCTCTTCTTTATAAAGAAACTCGGCAACTGACTCCGCTCGCCATTCCAGCAGGTCATTTTCAACCAGGTAATGGACACCCTGAAGTAAGACACAGGGGGCGGGGAGTCAGATTTGTGTGAAAAGTATTTGGAAACCAGGAAAATGGTCAAAAACAAAATCAGTAATGTCAATGTTTACACACAGAAGCTTGTATTTTATGTGGTGTAGAATGACTGTTCAGACCAAAAGAGGGTGAAATCTGTCGTATTTGTCTTGAAATGTATAATATTCTGTCTTTTAATCAAAGGTTTTATATAAGGTTTTATATGTGTTTGGTCATATAGCATATCAGAAAACATACAAGAAAGTCTTATCACACATCAAAAAGAAGAAGTTCTTCTTCTCCTTTTGAGTCACTGTGGTCATTAATCACCAGTGCAGAAGAAAGGTTGAATGAATATTGCATGCTGCTGCTATCTGGAAATCTCAAAGGGTGTTCAGAGCCAAATCTTCAAAATATGACCCTTTCTTCTGAGTGCGTCCTCCTGCTGAGTAGCTCTTCAAATCAATTGCACTTAAAGGCACTCTTAACCCCAAGAAGTCTTAAAATTTCATATCCTCCCACACGTACTCTTCCTCAGGCCTGAGCGCAGAGCGGTCACAGGCCGAGAGACTCAGCTTTTCACCCGAGGACGCAGAGAGGAAGGAATGAAAAAGACGGAGGTCGCTGTGGTGAAGTGGCGCTTCTGCCCCACTTCAGGGAACAGGATGTGGTTTTTCTCGCTATTCAGTCATGTGTGTCTGTGCACATCTTGCACTTCTGCACATCACACAGAAACACGCAGATCTACATCCGCTCTGTGAGTTATCTTTGCTTCCGTCTGACCTTCAGATCCAGAGGAGCTGAAGTGAGTGAAAGTAGAATTTCACATTTGTGTGTCAACATAAACTTGCTACATGCAATTAATTCAACGTGAATGAAATAAATTCACTACACTTCAAGTAAAAGTCCTTTAAAAACCTTACTAAGTTTTATCAGCAAAAGTACTCATTGTGCAGTAAAATGTTCCCTGTCAGTGTTTTACTTTAATATATAAAGTAAAACATGTATTAATATCACTGCTGCCTTAATGTATATGTTGCATATTACTGCTGTAGATGTTTACGGTTGAGACATTGTAACTACTTTATATACTGTTAGTTTAATATACAGTAATGCATCATATTCTATAAGTTCATCATATGTTTGTGTTGTGGAAATTCTTCCCAAAGTTGAGAGGTGCTAAGTCTCTGAAGAACTTTCAAGCCGGTGTGCCATTGTTCACGTTCACCCCTTCCTACCCTCTTCGGCATAAGTAACCTAAAAAAAAGGTAACCAACTCCGAACAGTAAAACCAACCACGCTCGAATGTACACGGTCCTCCACGGCAGCTTCATGCCTGGCAGTACGTAGCCATATTTTATGCTATACTCCGATCAGTGTCCAGTTGGCCGACCACCTCACAGGCGATGCATTGAAATTGCCGATCACACGAAAATTAACACAATTGCTCTCAGCGGCAGTTGACAACTCCGCCAATAGCGAAAAGTCACCTATCACCTAATGTTACCAATCAATCAAGCAATTACACAATTTTAAATCATTTGCAGATTATTTGTGGGTTAAACAGGGGTTATTTTACTTGCAGGCGCGCAGTCCTCTACTGCGTCGATGGAAGCGATCAAGTTAGAACACACAGTCTGAATTGTCTTTAGCCCTCTTGGCACTAGTTTATTTAAGCAGTTAATAAAGTGCGGACCGAAATGTAGCCACCGTCTCATCAGCATGGTCCCTCACCACACAAACAACAATCACTAAGCCAGCTCACTGGATGAGCGATAGGTGAACGTACACGTCTTGTAAACACTGTACCGATAACCTCACAAGTTACAGCAAAGTACCAGATTAACAAATCAAGTTCCCATCCACTGTAAAAAAGTACCCATCGGCCACT